GTGTAAAGGTGAAAATTGGTAAATCAATAACATCATTAGACTTAGTCTGCAGTTAGATCCGCCCTAATATTCACCTATTTCCTGTTTGTTTCTCCCTTCACAGATTAATTAAAGAACTCTGTTTTGTTCCCTTTCTCAAGACTACCCATACCTCGTTAATCCATTTAATTAACAAAATCCTAACCTGGAAAGGGCAATTTCTCAATCCTCAGGCGCTGAGACACCAGAATAGACATAAAACCCGAGGCCGCGGTGGCCAAGCCTATTATATTTAAACAGATAATATTATCTCAAAACAGACCAGACCCCAGGAAAGACGTCAGCCCTCGGACCTGCCTGACTGACTCCCCCTTTTCTTTGCTTTTCTTGTGTACTTATAAAACCTCCTGACTGGTCTAGGAACCAGGAGGTGGGCTTTGGACAGGAGTCTGCCATCCTGCCAGAATGCCCTGCATTCTGAATAAACCTGCTGTTCTTTCCACCAACCATGCCTCCCGACTTTTACCTTTTTCAAGCAGCAGGCAGCCGGCCCTTAGCACTGTATCAAAAAGAGCGAAATATCAGCAATTTCGTGGGGTTCATTCAAATTCCTGCAAGCCAGCTTCAGATTTATTGTAGAGAGAGAGAAAAAAAAATAGACTCTGCATCAGCGTGCTAGGCGCCATGCTCTATGGTCATCCCATGGTTGTGGCTGAATTCTGTTGTATCAGAAGCCTTGCTCACTATGGGGAAACAAAAGGAATTAGCAGAGGGCCGGCCAAGTGGCGCNGAGCCCTTCATCACAGTGAGGGTTTAGCCACAGGCATTTTTCTCCCTTTCAAAGAGAGGGAGGAAAATGCAAAGCTCCTACACCAGCTACAGAATCTCAGTCAGTAAAACTTCACTCTCTCTCTGTTCACTTTCTCCTCCTCCGTCTTCTTTCTCCACGCTCCCCCCATCCCTCCCTCTCTCAGTGGCTATAGCTTGGGGAAAAAATAGCAAACAGATTTTATTTTTCAGTACCTTCCTGTGTTTTCTGGTCAGCTCCACTGTGACAGCATATTGTTCTAACTCTGATGGTGATACAGCATTGAGCTGTGAACAATTAAACATAAACACCAGTCTCACTTCCATCCTCTTCTTTCCTCCTTAGGTGAAGGCAGCCTCCAAATATGTGGATGTACCTGTGAGTATCTGAATATTGTTTTCGTGGGGGTTTTTGGTTTGGGTTTTTTGGCTTTCATGAGAATTTTGATGGTGCGGTTTTCATTAGTTGCTGCTAAATTATATATTCCTAAGTGAATCACCAGAAAGAGGGAAGCCAAGAAGATTTCATGATAAAATTACTATCAGAGGAGAAGAGGGAAGGGTTTCTTTCATCAGGAATAGAGGTCCTATGTGAGGGCAAACCCAGTTCACGTCCGTTGTTATTTTCATTGGTTTCTCTGAAATATTTCATTCTGTGATCTCCCTGCTCACCTCCTCTCCTGCATACACACCTCGGAAGTAGAACCACGAGCTAGACATTTGCACAAGGGTACCAGTATTTTTTTAAAACAAATAAATTCTGAATTTGTTCATTTTGGGGTCAATTCTGCAATTGTTTTAAGGAAACCTTACAAAATTGTTTATAATAAGTGCAGACCTCATTAATGAAGAGAGCTCTCAAAGTTCACAGATAAAGCACTTGAAGTTGCCCAAAATTTACATTTAAATTGAGGTTAAGTACAACACATGAATGCTAGAATGTGGGATTACCTGTGATAAACCAGGGTACATTTATAGACAGACTTTGCCCTGCCTATTAGCAAAATAAAATTGGAGAGATTTAAATATATTCCAATAAAGAGGAAAAGGAATGATTCTGTTTCTCTGTTTTGAACAAAAGAGGTGTGAGTCTCTTATAAAATATTAAATTTAGAGAGCTTATCTCAACAGCCACCAAGGGTCTTGTACTGAACGTTTTTCATTCTGAACGTGGTTAAGTACCTTCCTTGTTCAAATACTTATTTGTTAAAATTTGTTTTTTTCTAAAAGGATTTATATTAACATTTAAATTCATTTCCCCAGGAAGTTAAGTGTGTAATGGTTTATTGGCTTATTTCTCAAAGGATGGCAAAAGGAAAAATTGGAGTGAATTTAGCATTAGCATATACTTTGTTTGTTTAAGGAAAGAATGTACAATCAATAATTATGCTTTGAATTTATATAATATTTCTCATCGAGGGACCTCAGACTCCTTCACATAGATAGTCCTTATAATGGAGAAGAGAAAAAGCTCACATAACTACAGCAAGGAGCAAAGTTAAGTAATTTATTTTCCCAAGCCCCAAAAATATAAACTTCCAGTGCACAGGGAGCAAACTACTCAAATTCTCTGGGCCTGTTTCTCCATCCTTAAATTAGAGATAATAATACCCAAGTCTCGGGTTTGCTGTGCAGATTAAATGACACATACAGGGAACACTCAGCACCATACCTGGCTCTCGTTAGACATTTCAGCAGCAGGAGCAGGGCAATGGGGGTGGGGAGCTGATACCCACTCTATCGCATGGGGGTGGGAGTGAGGGTATGAATTTGCTGACATCA